TGTCTCCACATCCGGATCAAGCTCAGTCCACTCCTCATCCTCGTCGGCATCATCCAACCCCGGCTCAACCACCACTGCCCATGCATAACGAACAGGCGGAACTCCCCTCGTAATGCGGGTAGAGCGACGCAAGTCTGGAGTAATGGTTCCTGAAGCCAATACGCGACTGCCACTCCACTCTCCCCCTTCTCCTTCATTCTGCGGCTGCTGGTCTCCTTCATCCAGCTGCTGCGAATCTCCTTCACCCTGCTGCTGTAAGCCCACTGGCTCCGTCAGCTCTCCCCTTACTCCCATTTCCCACTGCTGCGTCGCAGTTGGAAGCTGTCCGTCGGTGGGCACAAGAGACGGAGGCTCCAACACACCCCCCTCACCGACGAGCAGCGCCGGCGGAGGGGAAGGGGAGGGTGACGCAGGAGGGAGGGAGGGGTTAGGAGGAGGTGGAATAGCAGAAGGGGAAGAGGAAGAGGGAGGAGATGCGGGAGGTGGTGGAGGAGGAGCGGGTGGGGCAAGAGGTGCGACCCGAGAGAGGCGTGTTCCACACGATTGCGCACCCAGACTGCCTGCGCCACCGCCAGATGCCACCAGTGGTGCTGCACACCCATGTGTAGCAGCATCGTCCGTACAGCTTCCACAATGCTCCGCATCTCCCGCTCCGCCATTCCATTCTGCTCCGGCGTGTAGGGACACGTGAGGTCGTGCTCGATGCCGCGCTGGTCGAGGAAGGCAGTGAATGCTGCGCCCAGGAACTCGCCGCCACGATCGGAGCGCAGCGCCTTCATCTGCATCCCACACTGCCGCTCCGCCAAAGGTAGCCACTTCTCGAAGGCAGCCAAAGCGTCACTCTTTTGTGCCAGCGTGTAGACCCAAACATACCGGGTCTTCCGATCTTTCAGCACCAGGAAGTAACGGCTCCCATCCTTGGCCCGCTCCCGAAAGGGTCCGCAGAGGTCTGCATGCACAACTCCAAGCACCTCATCTTCCTCGCCACCCATGGGAGGGAAGGTATGACGGGTAATTTTCCCCCCCACACAAGAAACACAAGGCAGTCCCGACTTTCCCCCTTTTTCCAGCTCCAAGCCCATCACTGACCCATGAGCTGCAGTACGCCGAATGGTGTCAACACCAACGTGGGCGAGGCGAGCGTGCCACATGTCAGCCGATGACTGCATGCCGGAGGCCAACGCCCGAAGTGCCACAGTTTCGCCCACAGCACGCTCAGCAGGCAACGGCTTGAGGTCAGTACACAGCACTCGCCCCTTGAATTCCGCACGCCCCATAAGGGATCCATCAGGTGCACGCATGAGTGTCTGCTCCCCTGTATCCAACAGCTGCACTCCGGTATCCCGCAACTGCCCTGAGGAGAGAAGACTAGCCTGTACCCCTGGCACATACAGCACGTCTGGTACCAAAACACGCTTGCCTCCCTCTCCCAGGAGAGCAATGGTGCCCCTCCCTTGTACTGGCTGTATCGCGCCATTGAACCCGCGAACCTGGCGGATGGAACTATCATTAATCAGCTCCACAAACGCCGCCCGGTCTCCCATCAAGTGGTGGGAACATCCACTGTCCAAAAGCACAACACTCGGGTTGGCTTTCACAGTAGCTGCAACAGCCTGCAAGCCTTCCCCGGCCTCCGGTTCCAATAAGATCGAAGACTGCTGCGCTAGGATTGGTTCCACCATCGCGCAGGTGGACTGCCCTCCGCCCCCCGAACTGCTGCCCTCCTTGCAGTTGCCGCCACCCCCACTCCCTTGCCCCTTCTGCGCTACCTTGTCCTTGCGCTCTGGGCAATGGAAAGCGACATGCCCTGGCTCGCCACACGAATAGCATTTCCCCTTGAAAGGCTTTCTCCCCTCTTTCTGCACTTCCCCCTTCGCCCCTTTTCCCTTCCCCTCTCCTTCTCCACCCCTGCTTGACTACTTCGCCGATGGCTGTTGCACAGGAGTGGATGGGGAAGGGGCAGGAAGCGTATCTTGCTTTGGGAGGAATGATGGCTTGCCAAACCTCTTTGGGAAGGTCAGGTTTGCCTGGGGAGGGAAGAAGTCCTTTCGCCCTTCTGCCGCCAAGGTACATTCCTCTTCTATGATATAGCTAGCGAGGGTGTCGTCGTCTAACTCGCCGCGCACCTGCGGCAGCTTCAACATACGACGTAAGAGATTATACTGCTGCGGTAACCCCTTTACAACGTGGGTAATGTACGACGCCTGCGAGTAGTCTACGCCGGCCATTCTGAGATTTACGAGAAGCTGCTGTTCACGGTTGCAGTAAGACGTGGCGGACTCGTGCTCGCCCATCTCGAGGTTGGTGAGCGCTTGCTCTAACTGACCTAGATACAAATCGTCCTTCGCCAAGTACGTTCGCATGATGAACTGCTAGGCTTGCAATCCGGCATCCACCTTCAAGCGACATGCTTTAAGGGCGACTTGCACTTGGGGGGAGCAACAACGAGAAATGGTCGTAAACGTCAGTAACTGAGCAGCTCGGAATTGCGAGAGAAGTGCTACCGCGTGCTTCGGAGGAGTAGGGGTGGAGCCGTCGATAAAGCGTTTGAGCTGAGCTATCTCGAGCTGGGGCTCAATCGATTCTACCCAGGATGACAGGTCGTGACGCCCTTCTAACGGCCTAGGCACGGCGATCTTGTCTGGAGTGAATTTAAAGTAGCCATAGTCAGGCGCTATCCCGACGTCTCTTACCGCAGAGCTTTGTGGTATAATGCCGGGCATAACGTCACTATCACGCTCCTCTACAAGTCCTCCTCCAACAACGCTTCGCCGCCCTATCTCGTCGCGCTCGCGCGATGCTGCCGCTTGATGCACACGCTCCTGAACGCCACCCATTCTAGCAGTGCTACCATGTACGTTTCCTCTAAGAACGCCACGAGCGAAACGCCGCTCGCTCGCCACACTAGCTCTATCTTCATCGTCGCTAGCCGTCACTAACGCACCTTGCGGAATTCCAGCCTGCGCGTTCTCCGCTACCGGAAGAGAAGGGTGGTCACGTCGCCACCTCGCTCGAATCCCTTCCAGCATTAGCTCATAATCCTCGTCATTAATCTCTCCGCGAGAACGACGCGTGTGCAGAATCTCCTCTAGCTCGTGCAGTTCAGTGACGTCAACAGTCGCCTCCTCCGCGTTCGCCATTACTGCGACCTTTCTACAGACCAACTATCAGCTAGTATAAACTGCTATTTACTTGATTCTCTCATCTCGGGGTCACGTCACAAGGGTCCTCAGGCGAATGGTAAGTAAATACCAAAAGCCCTATCCTTGGGTCCGAGAACATAACTGGAGGGAAATTAAATAAATCGCAACTTACACCAACGATAGTCCTCTGCTATAGCTATAGCCTCCAAGACGAACGAACGAACGTAGTAGATCGACGACGGTGAAAATCGATAACGCGCGCGTGTTCGTTCCACGCTCACCGCACCATGAAGGAATGCTAAAGCGAGAGCGCTTGGGAAAGTGTGGAGCGATTCCGACAGAGTAACACTATTTGAATAGCGTGCTAGGCGCTGGTGGCAATTGGGCAGAGTTTGCCTTAAAGTACTTGGTCGAAATTCGAGTAGAGTAGAAGTTCACTAGAAACATATATATATCCAAAGTACAAAGAAGCACGCAAATATATAGGCAAGTGCAAACCCAACCAAAGTTGCGTGGCGCTGCGGGTGTAACCAACCACCCCGAAGTTGCAAAAGGGTTGGGCGAACGCGCCTCGCCCAATTCTCCAACCCAACTCAGCAAGGTTGGGTTTGCCGTGTACGCAACTCCAACCACCAAGGCGAACACTGCCTTGCTGCTCACGAAAAACCATCGCGATAGCCACGACTACTTATGACTCGTCAGAGTCACTGGTCATCGTGAGCATCTCCGGACTAGTCTGCACAAACTAGACACAGTCTTCGGACGCAATGGTTAGTCCATGCACCTTGATCACGCCAACCCGCAGCTGCCAGGCAACTGGTGCACCGACATAAGTCGGTCAACGCCTGGCTGCCCGCAGCTGCAGTAGGGCTTCCAACAGAATGGGGGCGCAGCAAGGTGCGGCGGGATGCAAGGCGCGGCGAGGTCAAGCTAGGTGCGGCGAGGCTTGGTGCGGACTCAGCGAAGTGCGGGATCGGCGCGCCGCTTGATTCGGCGAGGTGCCGCGAGGAGCGATGAGGTGCGGCGAGGTGCAGCGAGGTGCGAGTGCTGCTACGGGCGAGGTGCAGCGAGGTGCGAGTGCTGCTAGGGGCGAGGTGCAGCGAGGTGCGAGTGCTGCTAGGGGCGAGGTGCAGCGAGGTGCGAGTGCTGCTAGAGGCAAGGTGCAGCGAGGTGCGAGTGTTCCTAGGGGCGAGGTGCAGCGAGGTGTGAGTGCTGCTAGGGGCGAGGTGCAGCGAGGTGCGAGTGCTGCTAGGGGCGAGGTGCAGCGAGGTGCGAGTGCTGCTAGGGGCGAGGTGCAGCGAGGTGCGAGTGCTGCTAGAGGCGAGGTGCAGCGAGGTGCGAGTGCTGCTAGGGGCGAGGTGCAGCGTGGTGCGAGTGCTGCTAGGGGCGAGGTGCAGCGAGGTGCGAGTGCTGCTAGAGGCGAGGTGCAGCGAGGTGCGAGCGCTGCTAGGGGAGAGGTGCAGCGAGGTGCGAGTGCTGCTAGGGGCGAGGTGCAGCGAGGTGCGAGTGCTGCTAGGGGCGAGGTGCTGCGGGGTGTCACGAGGTGCGGCTGGGTGCAAGGCGCGGCTAGGTGCGAGTACAGCGGGGTGAGGCGAGGCTTAACGTGCTGCGAGTGGGGCGGCGCGCGGTGGGGTGCGAAAGCGGCGAGGTGTGGGTGCGGCGCGGCATGAGGCTGCTACACGGTGCGGCAGGGGAAAAGCTAAGCCGTTAGAGGGAGAGAGGTGCGGTCGGTGTGAGAACTCATTTGCCACGCTATACTACGTCGGTTCCGACAAGATGTGCAAGGGGAGGGACGCAAGGGAACGTACGAAGCTGAGTGGATAAAAGTCTCTAAAATCCACACGCAAAGACACCCACCTGGAATCTAATTCTCGAGGAGAGGGGCCCACGTATGCGGCAGTAGAGCGGCCCAGAGCCCACACAGATCCGAAGCCTTGGCGCGTGAGAGTCGTGGGTCTGCATTCACTGCTTCTCAGAACGTACCTATGGAGCAGGAAGTCGCGTTCACACAAGTACAGAGTGCAGGAGACGGAAAGTAATTTGCTACTAGGCCTTCGAAGAAAACGCTGCTGAGAACTTCGAGAAGAAGAATCCGTGAGGGATAGGAAGGAAATGGAGGAGGGAGGAACGACTCGCCATCATTGGTCCGCAAAACAAGTGTAAGACCTCTCTCTAGGTGCAGCGTTTTAATTCAAGATTTCGAGCAGTGCAAAGCGTTCGAACACGGTGGTAACCCATACCGAGCAGGCTGAGTTGGCGAAGCGCGGATGTCCCTCAAAATGCGACGTCGCCGTGAAAACCGACCAAAGGCCAACATTATTGCTGCACAATTATCGGAGCGCATCAGCGTTATAGAAAAACAATCGGTTCAAGTGCAAACCTTCAATTAAGCACATGCATATGTCAACCGAAACTACAACATTATGTAAAATGACAAGCAAAACTCCAAACGACTGCATGTTCCGTATTCGAAACGAATAAAAATTACAAAATGTCCAAAATACATTCCGAAAAACATGATGCATTTTACATGAACTCAGTCACAAATCCCATAAATACAACCGCATTTACGAGAAATAGTACATACAAGGGTCAACAAATACATTGTAACGTTCTCATCACTATTAACGAACTGCCACTCATCGCGAACCACAATGGAGCTGGATAAACAGCAGAGTACAGCGGGGAGTACAGGACACGACAGACCAACCACCATTTACTGCGCTGTACACTTAGAAGCGTAGAACCCAACAAATACGACCCACTCACCATGTACCGCGCGCATCAGCAAACTGCGGCAGATGGGGAAACTCCCACTGTTACGGGCGATTTACTCCAGTAAGAACCTCGCTGCCAATAGATTGTAGTTTACGCTCGTATACGACCGGCGAGCCGCGCATGAACTGACCCCCCCTCCCCCCCCTCCCCGTCCGGCCCGGTTCAACAAAATTGCGATGGCACCACCACTCATGCAACTGCTCGCGCAGCCGCAGCCGCCACTTGCTTGCCCGCAGCTCGCAGCCCCACACCAACTCACGCAGCTCGCTCGCCGCTCACTTGCTGCTCGCTCGCCGTTCGCTTGCCGCTCGCTTGCCACTCGCTTGCCGCTCACTTGCTTGCCCACAGCTCCCTCATTGGCCCGCCTCTCTCTCGCTCGCCCACAGATCCCTGTCTGCACCAGCCCACGCCTGCTCAGCGCCAGCCCGCGCCGGCCCGCGTCAGCCAGTCATTAGCCACTAGCGCCGGCTGCCAGCCATCGGCCACCAGCCGCCAGCCGCCAGTTGCAAGTCGCAAGTGCCAGCCCCCAACTACAGCCGCCAATGTGCTCTCCTATTGCCTTATGCCTGGGCTTCATGCCCGTCTGCGCTTGCTCCTCCTGGTATAGTCTCTCCCGCTCACTTCTCCTCGCCTCACTAGCTCATATCCTTGCTATCTGCTGCCATGGCGACCCCGCCTGCCTCTGTCCTCCGCCTGGACGTTAAGGGCTTCGCACTTGGCTTCTTTGGCTGGCTGGTTGCCCTCCGCCGCCAGCTCAAGTCCATTCGCCAGGACAGCCAGGCCCTGGTGGCCCATACTTCTGGTACATTGCCCGCCCCCCCCAGAGACTACTCCTCTTGCTGCTAACGTGACCTCCGCGCAGCGAGCGGCGCACGAGGCTGCCCTGGCTGCCTCCTTTGTCTGGGAGTCCCGCGATGCAGTTGCACAATTGGTAGTCACTAGAGACCTTCCCTCACAAGAGCAAACCCACTTTGAGACTATCGAGGCTATTAAGGAAAGCTTGGACATAGTTGTCGCTTGCTAATCTACCCGGTCCTCTCCTACCCTATGTCGTCTTCTGTTGCCGTTTCTTTTCCCCGACCTTGTCTCTTTCTCCACTGTCGCGGACCTAGTCACGTTCTTGCACTCCCTTGAGGCTCGCTGGCATGCAGCCTACCCCAAGGATCAGCGCACCACCCACTTCCCGCCCATCTACATGACCCTGTACCTCCTTGCCACCCGCCTCCCTGGCCGTCTCGCCCCTACGCGAGACGCTCTCCTCGCACAGCCCCTCACTACCCTCACTGTCACTAAGTTCTCCACAGCCATGACTGTGGTTAAGACACACCTCCGTGCCATCGTTGACACCATTGGCACGGGTTGCTCTACCCCCTAGCTCTCTGTCTCTGGGGCCTTTGCCTCAGTTGTGGAGGTCACGGAGACAGCTGCGGCAGACACCACGCCCAATCGTTCCTCGGGTTACAGGGGCAAGGGCTAGGGGGGCAAGGGTCGTGGGGTGCCAGCAGCGGCGGGTGGAGGGGGTTCTGTGGCGGACTGAGAGGTCGGTCAGACAGAGTTGGGGGCTATGCAGCAGCTGCAGCAGCAGCAGCAGCAGCAGCCGCAGCAGCTGCCGTGGGGGTCGGCGGGCCCTGGGAGTAGTGGTCGTGGTAGAAGTCGGTTGAGGTTGGGCCCCATGGCAGTTGGTGCCCTTGGGGTCACGTGCCTCCTCTGTGGGCCAGGGTGCTGGCGGTCCAGGAGGCTTTGTGATCTGTACATACCAACTGCTGACCAGCCCCCAGGCCGGCCAAGTCTGCGGGCGCACGGGCCACCCCGCCGCCCGCTTCTACCACCGCTTGCACGACCTGTACCGCCGCCAGTTTGGACTCCAGCAGCAATTAATGGGCTGGCCCTCTCTGCTAGTTGTGGTATTCAGATATTTGATCCCGATATGGTTCGGATAGGACAAACCTTGTACTCCATGTACATTGATCATTCTAGTTTTGCTGGTTCCTTTTATTCTGCTGTTTGTAGTCTCGGATCCACTGCTATGTCTCGCATAGGCTCTCCTAGCATTCCCTCGCTGGCCCCCCTATAGCGGCCCTTTCCTTAACACTCGACTCTGTCACGTCCCACTGCTTCTTCAGAGGCCGCATTGCTCTCACCCTGCTTTCTGCACTAGTACCGATCTCCCTAGCAGACTCCTCTGCCACGGTAGTCGCACGCAGCACCACCGCTCTCCCCTGTCCAGCTGTCCCCTCTAGCTCCCTCACAAGTCTGCATATCCCTACGTTTGCCAGGAACTTGGTGTAGGTCACATGCAGGCCCTAGTGGTCACCACCACTTTTCCTGGCTACGTTTAAGAATCTCACAAGGAATTAGAGGAGCAAGAGAAAAGGTTGGAAGGGAAGAGAGGGATGAGAGGGAATGTCCCAAGAGAGTCCCCAACCAAGGAAACCCCATAAGCACAAAGATTCCCTCCCTATAGGAACCCCAACTTTGACATTTGTACCTTCCCAACCAATCCAACCAAGTTGGCCACCCTTGCCAACCAATTTTGCAGCTGCTACAGTAGAGTGACGAATTTCCCCAACCCATCATGGTCCCAACTCCATATAGAGTCACCCCACAACTTCACTTTGTAACCGCCGCAATTGTAACGCAAGCTCATGAACTTTGAATCTTCATAGCTTTCACGTTCTTGCTCCGATTGAAGCGATTCTTGTTGCGTCAAAAAGATCTTCTCAAGATCTATCATCACAAATACCTGCTCAAACAAAATAACACAAAACACATTCCCAAACTCCAGAAAACACCACACACAAATTCTTTCACACGTAGTCAAACCATACATGCGAATTGAAACAAGGGATGGGAGGCAGACAGAATGTGATAGCATATGATTACATCATACAACAATCTCCCCCTATGGCTGCCAACCATCATACACCATACCAACATCTCAAGCATGCATACTCAATGCACACTCATCCCAGCAAGCTTCATGCCCTTCCAATGATCCGCCTCCGCCAGTCGCTTAGTGAAAATATCTGCTGCCTGCTAATGGGTCTTCACTATCTCCAGCCGCATCTCTTTATCAAGGAGTCTCCTCACCCAATGCCACTTAGGCCTTATGTGTTTTGTCAGCCCATGTAGACAAGCATTCTTGGCCAGCTTCACTGCAGACTCATTGTCACAGAAGATCACCGTCGGCTCCTTCTGACCAACTCCCAACTCCTCCAACAAACGCCACAGCCATACCACTTCCTTGGCCCCATGGTGTAAGGCCATGTACTCAGTCTCACATGAGGACAATCCCATCTCATTCTGCTTCTTGCTGCGCCAGCTCACAGCACCACCTCCTAGCAAGCACACATAACCCTCAATGCTTGTGGCATCCGCTTTCATTGAGTTGAAGCTAGCGTCAGTATAGCAACTCAAGAGCATCTCACCACTCTTTACACCTGCAGCACCTCTCTGCAACCGCTGCCTCACTCCACTGTACTCCAATCCCACTTATGCCATAGCACTCACATAGCGAACCAACCTCTTAGGGCGTGAAACCACGCTAGCCAGCCATGATGTAGCAAATGCAATGTCAGGCCGTGTATGATTTGCAGCATAGTTCAGCGACCCAATCATCGAATGAAACAGCTTCCTGTCACTCTCACCCACTACCTCTTCATCAGCACATGGCTCCACAGTAAACCCCGAAGGCAGTGGTGTTGCTGGTTTTCCCCCATCTTGCACCCCATACTTCTCAGCCAGCCCCTCACAATACTTCCTCTGGTGCAACCTCAGCACACCTTTCTCCACATCTCTCTCCACATGCATTCCCAAGTAGTACATCACCTCACCCATCTTGGAGCACTTGAATTGCATCTTCAGCATCTGCTCTGCGCTGTCCAGCAAAGCAGTTGATGCAGAAAAGGGAAGGATATCATCCACATACACCAAGAGCATGAGGATTTTATCCTTCTCCTGCAGCAGGAACAGGCTGGGATCACACTCACTCTTCTTGAAACCCCCAGCCAGCAGCGCCTCCTCCAACTTGCGATACCATGCACGAGGCGCCTGCTTAAGGCCATAGATGGCCTTCTTCAGCCTACAGACCCTGCCGCTCCCATCATCCAGCCCCTCTGGCTGCTTCATGTACACCTCCTCCAGAATGCTCCCATTCAGAAAGGCAGTCATAATGTCCATCTGCCGAATCTTCCATCCCAGGAGTGCAGCTATCGCCAACAGCACCCTTAGTGTTGTTCCTTTCCCCACAGAAGCAAACACCTCATCATAGTCCTTTCCCTTTGTCTGCTGAAACCCCCTTGCCACAAACCTAGACTTGTAGTGGGTCAGCTCCCCTTCAGGTCCATACTTGTACTTGTAGATCATCTTGGAAGTGATTGCCTTCTTCCAAGGAGGCAAGTCAGACAGGTCCCATGTCTTGTTCTCAATCAGGGACCCGAACTCCTCATCCTCACTCGCCTTCCACTTCTCCCCATTTGGTCCATTCAAGGCCTCTTCTCGAGTCTTTGACTCAAGGATTGGTGCCCAGTAGCAGTGTCACAGGATCGAATGTCCCGAGGAGAGGTTTGCTCAATGTTGCACTATCAATCAGTACAAGGTGCTTTATACTTCCAAGATACATCAGGTAACCATGTTTATCCTATCCAAAGGGAATAGACCCTTCTAGAAATAGAATCACCATGCGTATAGCCATGCAAGGCTATTGGCTTTAAGGGATTACGGCAGGATTACGCTAGATATAGCGCGCCAGTACATCCCGAGCCTGGTCGGTGATATAATTATAATAACAGGATAAACCAAAGGATAATGGAAAAGGAGGAATAGGAAACCAAATGAGATGAGATAAAGACCAAATGAATGAGGATAAAAAGAGGAATGAAATAGAAAGGAAATATGGAAAGGGGAAATTAGTGTAACGGGGTCGTACTCTCACAAGCAGTGAGCAATCTCATCTTCCTCAATCTGCTCAACCACACTCCCAGCCTGCACCACATTCAGCTTGCCTCTTCCCCCATAGGTCAGCCTTACAGGAGGGCGCACATCCCTCCTAGGACGCTCAGGCGGGTGTGGAACTCGAGGTGGAGACTCATGCTGCTGCTACTGCTCCACCTAAGCTGCTCCCCCTTCCTTATTTACCCCAGACATCTCCTCCTCAGACAATACAACCTCCACCTGTCTTGAAGGCCGCTGCACCTCATCTGCCTCCACGATTAGTGGTGTAGATGGAAGCTTCTGTTGCTGCTGCTTCCATTCCTTGTAGTACAGGGATTCAAGGAACTTCACATCCCTTGACATAGTCAGCTTTTGGATGGTCAAGTCCCATAGCAACCACCCCTAGTGATCCTTTGCAATCCCGAAATGCACACCCCATCTTCCAAAAGCCTCCGACTACCCCCTTTTCTCCTTAGGCACATGAAACACCACCATGCACCCAAATGCCCTCAGCATGTTCACAGCTAGAGCACTCCCATACCAGTTGGTATATGGGATCCACTCCTTATCCCCAACTGTAGCCAGCACCCTGTTCTTCACAAGGGCGACCTGCCTCAGTGCAGACACCCAAAACGGATCAGGCAGCTCTGTACGCCCAAGGAGAGTGTGTGCCCCCTCCTTCAGGGTCCTGTTGAACCTCTCAACCACGCCATTCTGCTGCGGGCTGTAGGGCACTGTCAGTTGATGTTGGATCCCCTTCCTCTTCAACTCCCCCTCAAAATCAGCTCCAATGAACTCCCACCATTGTCACTGCGGATCACCTTCACCTTGTGTCCACATTTCCTCTGAGCTCTAGGCATCCACTCCTTAAGAACAGCCGCTGCCACCTCCCCCTTGCTCTTCAAAGGGTAAACCCACACTACTTGAGTGTGGTCATCCACAATTGTCAAGAAATAGCGGCTGCCTGAGAGGGAAAGGGCTCTTGTGGGCCCCACCACATCCATGTGCACAAGTGCAAGTGGGGTCTTGGCTGGTCCTGTAGTGCTGTTGAAGGGGAACTTGGAGAACTTGGTCTCCAAGCATGTAGGGCAGCTCCCAATCTCCTTCACTCCCCCTTTCACCTCCAAGGCCTTCAGGCTCCCATCCTTCACCAACTTCTGCAGCATAGGGAAGTTCACATGACACAGCCTCTCATGCCATGTCTCCCAATCGGCCTCTCCACTCCTTGATGAAGCCTTAGCCCATGCCGCACTCGCATCGACACCAGCAAGCACCTCACCATGTGTCTGCTGCTGTTGCACTTTCTTAACGGCTTCCAGGACCCCATCAGTTGGTGCAGTTGCACCTCCTCTTGCTGTTGCCTTTGCCGCTGCTACCGTTACTGCTGTTGAAGTCTTCCCAGTCCAAGGGATGATGGGCAGCTGCCACAGGTCCTTGATGCAGCTGGTCTCCTCTTCCAGACTCCACAGCATCTTCTTCCCAAGCTTAGCACGGCAGCTGGTTGGTCCGAAGGTCACTTCGGCCTTACTCTTCTGCAGTCGCCGCATAGAGAGAAGGTTAGCAGACAAACCTTCAACCAGCAGGAAATTCCCAAGCCCCACAAGCTCCCCGTTAGCTCCCTGAACCTTGGCATTCCCAACACCAATCACAGGGAGCAAAGCACCTGACGCTGCTACCACATACTTAATCTTCCCAGGGGGTTTTACCTCATCAAGCAAATCTGCCCGTGGGGTCATGTGACTGGTGCAACCTGAATCAATCACCCAGTGTATGAGAGGGTGCATCACAAGTTTTCCCACAGATCCTACATCACCCTTATGCCCATGCACATCCTCAACCATGAGAAACATCCTAGGATAGGCATTACCTTGTGCACCTTCACCTTGTGCACCTGAGCCTTGCACAGCGCCACCTTGTGCGCGTTCACCACTGGGCGGCTTCATGCCTGGAGGTGCCCATCCCTCTGGCCTGCTGAAGCACTTGAACCAAGGATGGCCGACCTTCTTGCAGTACCAGCAGGTGCCCTCCATTTTGGTACTCCCCTTGCCACCAGAGCTCCCATGC